TCATTTACCGTTGTAAATAAGTTTTCTATAACTCGGGAATGAAAATGTCTAGTTTTTTCAAATATTGCTGATCTCGGGGTTTTTAAATTTAATTTTATTTATATTTAACTTTTACTCATATTTGAATTATTTATAGCTAAAATGATGGGAAATTCTGGAATTCAAGAAAACGTGCGCAGATGAACTCCTCCATACGTCATATACAGTTTTACTATTTTTTTCCAGTAAATAAATCTAAATCTAAACCCGCTGCATTAGATATCTTTCAATATAATACGTATACTACTCCGTATGTACGTACGTATACGAGATCGTAAAAACTAAGAATTTCCAGCCGCCATGGTGCAATTTGGGAACGGATGTCAAACCATACGCAGGAATTTCGAATTGACAATAAGGATATTTTTCTATTTTAGAAAATACAGAGAGTGTGCCGAAAAACGGACCAGCACAACTTTTTTTCACCGTTATTTGCTACCTCCTCCAAAATATTAGAGAAACTAGTGACGCTGACACAGACTTACTCACATTAGTTTTCTATTTTCCTTCTGAGCTAACTATTCGGTCATGCCTCTTACTCTTGCCAGTTGCCATCTATCACTGCTCTAGTACATTTTTTGACATTTTATCACTTTTTCGGTTTCCTAATAATAGAACCGAAATATTACCTTAAACATATTAAATAAAAGTAAAGCGTTGTCCTAAATGGCAAATTTTCTTCGAAACATTTAGAGCCATTTCTTTAGACAGTGGCGTTTTAGTGTTATTGTAAATGCGAAATTTCAAGCTCTTTTTTTACAGTACATTTTTGAGTTTTCAAAAAACTTAATTGGGAGTCATTTGAACCACTTTTACTTATAAATGCAATAGTTTTATAAATTGCAGAAAATGTGCATATTAACGCTGTGCGAGATATTAAAAAAAGTACATTTGTGTGATTTTTGAAAAAAACAACAAAAGAAACACCAAAAATGAACTTAATGTCATAGAAAATAGTGAAATTAGCACTTTCAGTTGCAAAACTTTGAAGTAAAAAATGTGATGCCATTTTTGAGAAAATGACGTATGAGCGATTCTGAAAATGTGGAATTTTGGCCCATTTTCACAGAAAACTGTTGGGGTTTCGAGAAAATTTATGACATTATTACTGTTTTTTGACTAAATAAATCTAAATCTAATCAATGTGTTAGACGAAGTAATTTTATATATATATATATATATATATATATATATATATATATATATATTTCTCTCGTATTTCTAAAAAGTGTATATCTTCTAGACAGTGACGCCGATTCTATTTGAGATGGATTCTTCACCCACCAAAACCATCTTCCTGGGTTTCATTTTTACGGAATCTCATTAGGCATTCGGGGGAGTGAATATAGCATGTTCCTTCTCACCCCCCTACTTCTAATGTGATATTCCTTTGCCTTCTTTTACTCCCAGTCTCGCTTATTGAGGTGCAAGTGCACCGTTCTCGACAGTGGTTAGTGCTGAACACAACACTCCACATAAATTTGCCCTTTCATCTATATTGGCTACTTTCTAGGAGCACACATGACAAATTGGACTGCCGTTTATGTGGAAAGGGTAAAGGTGATTCCAAACACGTGTTTGTGCCTTTTCTCTTTAAGTCCTGGCGCTATCAATCATGCGAGAGTCTCTCATAATCAAAATTTTTAGGTCTTCAAAGTCTATTAGCAGTTGTGTGATAGTAGACATCATCCCCGTGGGGCGGACATTCTCATAATTCATTGGGTATTGTATGTGCCAATGTCTCATTTTATGAGTCGACTCTTTGTTGCTATGTGGGGGAAGTCTTTCTACATCCACATTGGTGGTTGCCCAATCACTTGGCCACAATCATTCCAAGCAGCCCAACCGCATTGAAACAAAGTCGCAAGTCATCCTCGGGACACCTGCAAAGTCCTAGTTCTAAGGCAATGAGGTCTATTGTCTCTCGCAACTGCTAATAGACAAACGTTTTGATGCTGACAAGCCATCCCATGATCGACAGTGTCAAGGCTTAATGAGGTAGATTTGTACTCGTGTTCAGGGGTTTTGCTCAAATATGAATCCTGTGGAACACCATGGACTTGAGACTTGACGGGAGTGAGTCGCCTCTGATCCAAGTTCGGTCCCCCATATGTCACTCTGCTATCGGATTTTGTCGTCTTATCGATCGTATGGGGTTACTGTAGAAGCACGTGTAAGTCGATTTTTCTATTATCAGCTAGGAGCATAAGTTACTTCAATTACTCTCTTTACATGAGCTGATTCCTGTTTCTCTATTCCTCAGTTAAAGAGTTGTTTTAGTTTTACAACTTGCCATTTATGAGCCAGCCGCTGAAAGCAGGTCACTCATTAAACAACTTCAGAAGCACTTGCTACTATTAACTCCTTGACGTGTTCCTTCACGTTTGAGAAAGCCATGTCGATTGCAAGCGTGAAAATCTTGGCTCGCTCTCGTAAGTCACATAACCGCGTTCCATAGCAAGAGACAAGAAACTTAGTGGCACGTCTCCGGTAACCCATCATTACTGTAAACTAAAATACCACCTTTGATGTAATCTGAAACCATTCTTATGATGTGCAATTATGTTAGGTCTTTGAGAAAATTCAAGATATCATTCATTGATACAATTCTACAGAGCTGAATAAAATACGTTCCTAACATTTAGGGTGTCAAACGAGCGGCTATCCTGTCGCCATTTTGATCCTGAATGACCTTTGGTTCATCGTACATGTCGAATGCGGACAAATTGTGTGGCTAACATAGATTGTTGCAATAGCGCCTGCAGTGAGACAAAAACTCCGAATAATCCTTCAGAATTGCTATTACATTTTATATAAAATAATATGCCCATTGACTCCTATCTCAATACATTTTAATTCGATGGTTTTGAATCAACAGTTTTCTGCTGTGGTAAATAATTGGATCTTGTGTAACACCATTTTCATTATTTAACAATTTGCAAAGAAATTAAGTTTCAGCTGTTCAGTGCTCTTACAACAAACATTATTGCAGTATTGTCTTTCTTTTTTTCTTAGAAAACTCACAAACGATTTTTGGAAGAGTAGGATTGTAATATTATTTGAGGTGATTAGAGAAATTGATCAAATTGCATTGCCAGAAACGTTAAGTTGTTTTTGATTGGAAAAGTCATTACGTGAGTCAATTTCATAAATCTCAAACCTTGCAAGCATGGATATCACCAGAGGGTGTCTTTCCATCCGCACTTCTCTGACTTATGAAATAGTCGACCATGAGTATGGGTTCATCATAATTAATATACTGTATTGTAATGGTAATATTATAACAATTCAACTGCATTTATTAAATTTTAATAAATAATGTCGTAAAATTATCAAATCGCCAAGGAAGGAGTTTTTAGGGTCCTTCTTTCTGCTTTAACACCCTGAAAACATGATTGATGACGCTCTATTTGCAAGTGATATCAGTTGTTTGAAACAAAAAGTGTCAAGGTGAAAAACAACTATTATTTGCACCTTCATTTCCACATTGTTAATCATTTGTGAAAGATAAAACGATACAATTTTAATCTGTTGGAGCAATTCGAATACATTTTATAGACTCGTTCTTTTGAAAATATATTTTTTTAGGAGAAAGTAGCACTTATACTAATATTTTACCAAGAAATTTTTATGAAGTTCGAGTTTGTTCGAACTGAGGGTTTATAAGGTTCGAAATTGGCGTTTTTGTCGGAATAAAAAAATTATATTGAAAGATGGTAAACTTCTCCGATTAATAGTTTTTCACCAACATTTTTTGAGATGTTATTTACTACAAAAGAAAAAAACGGGGTCGGGAAAAACAAAATGTCTAGTGAAAAGGCGAATAATTTTTCGATTGAATTTTTGTTTGTGGTTGCATACGATGCTTTTTCGCCATACGTTCTAAGAGAAATCAAGAAAAGAATGATCCATTCCGAAAAAAGCTTATGATATTTCAGAATACACAAAATTGTAAAAGACGCTTCCCTGAAATCGCACGCAGGGCATGCGGAAGACGGAACGCGTGTCCTCGCGAATTTCTTCTGAAGATTGCATATCGATGTTATCGGAGACACCGGAGCGAGAGTTATCAGGCGGCTCGCAAGTGTCACGGGAGAAAGTATCACTTCCGCGTGGGAGTCCTTGTGGCGGCTCCGCTGTGCAACGCAACCTTAGCATTACAAAAAGTTTATCTTTATTATGTAAGACGCGCTGAAATAAATTAATCACTTGACTCTAGAAGCATGTTGAGATTCATGTGTACTAAGGAGCTAGTAATGGAGCAAATAATAATAAGAAAATACATACACATCTATCGTCGATCACCATAATAGAGAAAACGCCGATAATTTCGTAATGAATGAATTGTAGTCTAACTTCATGGAATGAATGGTTGGTGGCCTAGTCTAACGCCCCTGAGTGTAAAAATTCTATATACACGGATGTATGACGGGTTGCATGACCACTTTTCTCATGAAAGAATATTCTGTCTCGCTGCTCGTTCATGAAACAATAAAGAACCATATACGAAGAACCATAACATTAAGCTAATATTGTCCGAAACATCAATTTAAATGCTACGTGCGGAACTTCCCCCCTAGTATTTACACTCAAGACATGTATATCTTATTTCTCATGGTAAAAAATTAACATATTAGTCTTATTTCTTCTTAGGCTCACACAGATAGAATGAACGTAAATAAACTTCGAAAATCGTACTGCTTCATACATTCCGATATTGATGTTTACAGTACTGACATGAATTATATAACTCAACAGCTCTTGCACGGATCTCTTGCTCTTGCGATCTTGATCTAAAATCGACCTGCTCCAGTTTCCAATCAATCGTACCACAACTTTTTAAATCATGATTTAATAATTTTAGTTAAGAGATCACTGCACTTATTTTTTATCTTGATGCAACAATCATTCGGGGAGATGTGCCAATCTACTGAAACGAGATGAATTGCACAGTATAGTACCTGTCTGTTTGGGCGCCTGCGATGTGTTAGTGGCAAACGTCGTGACTGCGGCGGCGGCGGCGACCCGGACGTAGGGGTACGCGGCCACCAGCAGGCAAAGCGAGGCAGCGAAGCTGACGCAGCTTCCTCGTCGAGCGGTGCGGTAGGTTAGAGCCAGACGGCCGACGGGAGCCATCTCTGGCGCGGGCCTCTATGAGCGGCTGCGTTGCCAGTGTCCGATGCGCGAAACTTTCACTGGCTCCCTCCCTCCCACCCACCCGCCCGGCGGTTAACCGGCTGTCCGCCGCGCCGACCTGCAACTGGCCTGAGAGGACATCATACGCGGCGGAGGAGCGGCCCATGAGGGGGGTGGCGTAACAATGGAGACCCACTACTCTCGCTTCATCCATCACTTCATTCGGGGCTTTCCTTCCGCTGGCGCGTGCTGATTTCCGATGCTGTTGCGTACGTACAAACTGTTGCCGGTTCGCGCAATTCAGTGCGGAATGTTCCACCCGGAACTGAGGTGTGTAGGCTGACGTCGTCGCCTTCTTAGGAGGAAAGTCAGATCCTTTTTCTAAAGTCGTGGACGGGGCGAGGCTGAATTCATTTTTTTTTGCAATGAATAGGAAATTGTAATGTTACCTCTATTATTTTTGCAGAAGAGCATGGTTAAAAATCCGTTCACTTATTTTCATAATAAAACAACGAAATTAAATAGTTGTTGCGCAAACATTTTCGCGAATTTAAATTGGAAGCTTTCCTTGAAGCTGTAATCTTAGGGAGTGCTTCGAGAAAACATGAAGCCTGGTGAAGTAGATTAATGAAGGCCCTTTCTTTATACTTCAATTACAGTAATCTGAACATTGTTTTGTTTCCTAAAACAGGCGGTACTATCACAGCGCTTATTTTGTCGCATTTTTTAAACGACAACATAACATTATAATACTATATGATTCAGCAAAAGTATTTCCATCCAGAAACAATTTTCTCGGCGCTGGGATTCGAACTCAAGTCCGTAGAATAAACAAGCCAGACTCGTTACCTCTATACTATCGGCCCCCACCTCTGAACTCAACAATCCCAACGTTTAAAAATATTAAACTTTGCATTTACAATTTTCAAAAATGAAGATATTTTCTTTTGTATTATTTAAAAATATAGTGTTAAAGTAAAGATTTCATCAAGAAAAATATTCTGTTGACAATATTATAGTTTTTAATGTTCATTTTTTCTTTGCAATTTTCGAAAATACTAAAGCAACTTCGCCGAAAACGGGACCTGGGCCGCTTTTTAAACATTTGCTCTAAGCGAAAAATACTGGTACTGCAGCATGGCACAGATTTTTACGTATTAGTTTTCAATTTTCTGAGATCTGGGATTCGGACATGCCAAATACTCTTTTTTGTTTCAAAAATTAAAAATGTAATTTTTTGACTAGACTCTCACGTCGTTAATATTTACATTAGTGGCGATTGGTTTACATAACTGCATTTATGAGTATATGCGCTTTAAATAATGTCATATAAAATTTGTCGAAAACCCAACACGCAAGAGTAAGATGCATGACCGAATAGTTAGCTCAGAAGGAAAATAGAAAACTAATGTGAGTAAGTCTTTGTCAGCGTCACTAGTTTCTCTAATATTTTGGAGGAGGTAGCAAATAACGGTGAAAAAAAGTTGTGCTGGTCCGTTTTTCGGCGCACTCTCTATTTTTGATAATCGGTAAAAAAATACATATTGTCAATTCGAAGTTCCTGCGCGTCGTTTGAGATCCGTTCCCAAATGGCACTATGACCGCTGGAAATTCTTAGGGTTTTTACTTTCTCGTATACGTATGTACATACGGAGTAGTACATGTATTACATAGAAAGATTTTCCCGCAGGATTAAATATCTATTTCGAAATTTCAACTGAAGTACAGGTTTTGGGGTCTCTTGATACCAAAAAAGTGTGTGTTTTTTTCTTCAAAACGTCCCTCCGACCGTTTGTCTGTCTGTACGTTTATCCGTCCGTCAGTTTGTATGGTGTATGTGAACAACACTAGCGCCTAAACCATTGGAAGGAATATTTCCAAGTGAAAAAAATAGCTGTCCATTTGGCCTGATTCGAAGCTCTACGGTTTTGAAAATTATTCATTAGTTTTTGGGGGTACTTTACATGACGCCTCCAGGACATTTTCAAAATTCTCTCAAAAATGGCTCAAAATTTTTTCTTTAAATTTCTTCTAATAAAAGAGTAAAATGCACTTATAAAGGTGGTATAAGTCCGATTTTCACGGTTAACTCTGAATTTTCGAAAATTTCAAAAGTTTGAATTTTTTCGGTCTCTTCCTTCAACAACAATATTAAAGATAGAGATTTTTTCTTGAAATAAGATTTCTTGTTCATAACTTGTTCTTTCATTAAAGTCATGTATATTTTTTTGGAAAATTTTAGTAGTTCTCGCGCAATATTGCATTCATTTTAGGCAATTTTAAAAAACTACAAAAACAATATTTTCTCAAAAAATCGCTCTAAATTTTTTCTTTAAACTTTTGGTTGCAATTGTGCTAATTGCATTCTAAGATGGCATAAACGCCATATTGCTCTAATCTTTTGTTTTTTCAAAAGTTACAAAAACAAATTTTTTGACTTGTCTCTCATGTCGTTAATATTTATATTACAGGTAATATGTTCATAATATTGTTTTCATTGGAACATATGCTTTAAATATCATCAGGTAAATTTTCTCTAAAACTCAACAGTTTTCTGTGAAAACTAGTTCAAATTTCCGCATTTTCAGAAACGCTCACATGCCATTTTCTCAAAAACGGCTCCAATTTTTTCCGTCAAATATTTCGAAAGGATAGTGCTAATTGCACTCTGTAATATAACGTGTGAAATTTGAGTGAACAGTGAAAAGAGCTTCTTTATTAGTGCACACGATTCTTCAAGCATAGGTACGTATATACGATTCTTTATATGTGTATATACGAAAACAAAGAACAGTTGCAGTATACCAGAGACATGACACTGTAACAAGGAAATCATGGATCTGGTATATTGCAATTGTTCTTTTTTTTGTAAGTAATCTTACAAGGAATTTAATACTATAAAGTAAAAATGGAGCCAATTCTGAGAAAATTTTTAAAATTACTCTAGAACCTTATGTGAAGTATCATCAAAATTCAAATAATTCTTTTCAAAATTGCTGGGGGACTTAAGAGTCAGACCATATCGATCGGGGAATATTCATTTTGAAAATCAACCCTGCAAAACGTTAAAGGGCTAATGTTGTTCACAGACGGGTGGGCATTTAAAACCATTTTCAGATTCAGGGGATTCTACATCGTGTATTTCCGCAAAAAAATCTCGAAATTAATTTTCCGCCGCATTACATTAGTTCCTCCATTCTGCATATATTACTCCATGTAATCGAGAAAGTCAAAAGTAATCATGGAAACAGCATTATAAGAGAGTGATTGGCAGAGAAGTGTATAGCAAACACAAGTCGTGTTAGAGTCTTACATAGTAAAAATGTCCCTTAAGATGGGCCACCTTTTACGCGGAACCGCCCGCATTGCGGACCTTACGTGTCCGAATGACACGCCGCTGATAGAGATGACTTCTTGAAAAGGTCTAGCATTCTTTCAGCCGCTCCGAATCCATATTAAGATCTGATCGGCGACGATTTGTGTCCGTAAGTTTGAAAATGCTGGTATGGAAGAATTTTGAACTCTACAATGAATTTTTTTACGTATTTCATATTTTTCTTACGCGTTTTAAATAAATGCCAATATAAATATAATGCATATTAATATCACGTATACACATATTTTGTTTTTTTTCAGTAAAATAAATTCCGTTCCATAATAATAATAATAATAATAATAATAATAATAACAAGAAATAGTGTTATTATTTGCTGGTTAAGACAGCAGAACTGTTGGCACAGGGTCTTGGAGGAAGTGGGTGAATGTACGCACAAGTACATGAACACTAAGACTGTGGGTTCGAAACCCACGTAAGGTACGGTGTTTTGTGTTTGAGTTCATGGCATTGAAGCATTCTCAATCCCTCACATATCACATCAACACACTAATCCTTTCAGAATCCTGACAGTATCTGTTTGTGAGATATGTCTGCAATCTATGTGTAATTGAGGAACTAGCTTTCTACATCCAGAGTAACGGTTGAAACTAATCTAAATGCGGATAGTGCTACCACAGACCTAGGTACAGGACCAAGAGCACCTCGGAGCGTTCGGGGAGCACGAGTGAGCTTTTCACAGACAATTGTTTCCAGGACAGATGTAATGATCCCGAGAAGACCCGGTAAATTCAGAGTCTTTAGGCACCGATAAATGGTAGCCGGCAACGCCAACTCAAATGAAAATGAACAAACTTATACTTTTATAGCACCTCGTTCTTGTCCTTCCCTCTTAGTCTCTTATTTCGTTTCAGTTTCCTCTGTGTCATTTTTCTTCTCGTTTTCATTCTTTCTCTTATTTTCCTCCTCGGTGACCGGGCTAATAATGGGCTTAACGACCGCAGGGGTAGCTGCAACTCGGAATGCGTAATGCATATATATCTTGCGGGTTGCATCAAACAGGATGACGATTCAAAGAGCTGAACTGATTTTATACTTTCTCGCCCCTTCGTAAGAAGAGGAAGTATTGTAATCGTTCGCCGAAAAACGGCTCATTTTCTTAACAAAACGAACAAATCTTAATGCTGGGCCCTGCTAACTAAAAAGTGGATAAATCTTGTTCCTATACATTTAGTAAATTACTTACTCCAACACGTTGTGCAGTCAGAATTCATGTTTTGTGTGTTCTTGATACCGAACTGGTGCTATTACAGAATGGTACAAACTTTCTCATCCGTACCGACGCTAGGCATGAGCAGACCGGTCGATCGCCCGGGGCCCCACAAGTCAAGGGGCCCGATGGAGAAAATATAGTAAAAAATTGAAAAATAAATTAGAACTCGAAAAAATTGTTATAGTGTTTTTTTAAAGTCGGGATTCACTAGTCTGACATTTCATAAAATTTTCAATTCTTTTTTTTTTCCCTTAAATATTTAATTATAATCATAACTTATAAAGTAGGACTCTATGAAACTAATTAAATGACATTAATATTAAAATACATTCTAATGACTTTCATATTATTTCTTGGGTTAACAAGTGATTTTATTAAACACTATCTAAACACAGTTTTTTTAGCATTAAGATCACTGTGAAATTATGTGATCAATAGATACTTTTACTTAAAATTATTATTGAAAATAAATTACCAAAAACTTGTTCTAGCTTAAATATAATTTTGGTTATTTGTTAATGTAAATTTACTCATATACTCGTAGTTTCTTGATACAAGTTTTACATTTTTATTTTTTCAGTGGGGAGGAAGAGAGGGGCTACGTTGCAGCATTGCCTCAGACCCAAAATTGCCTAGCACAGGCACTGTTTCTCAAACTAGTTTTCTAATTTCTTTGGTTTCGACTAGTTTTTCATTTTTGCCTCACAAACTTAGAAAGGAAGAAACAAAGAAAGAATGCAATGAACGCAGGGAGGCAGGCTGGATGCAGACAGGCAGGCTAGAGGTAGACAGACAGGCAGGCTGGAGGCAGGCAGGCTGGAGACAGGCCAGCAGGCTGGAGGCAGGCGGGCAGGCTATAGGCAGGCGGACAAACTGGAGGCAGGCGAGCAGGCTATAGGCAGGCGGACGAACTGGAGACAGGCAGCCAGGAAGGAGGCAGGTAGACAGCTGGAGACAGACAAGCAGGAGGATTGCAGGCAGGCAGGAATGAAAAATACAACTCATTTTAGGTGTCAGGGGAACCCAAAACATGTATTTTCATTGAAATCAATTTTCTACATCATTATATTATGTATATTACTGCACATGTACAAGAAAGTAAAGATTTATTCACAGCAAAATGTCTGTTTGGGGTCAACACTGGTGCCTAAACCATTTGTCCGATTGATATTCCCTAATCAATTTAATTGAACTCGAGCTCCTCTTGGTTTCAAACAGATATTTTCGTTTTTTGGGGATACTTTTCATGAAGCTGCAACATTTTCTATATTTTCTAAACAAATGGCTCCAAATTTTGTTTGTTAGACTGTGTTTTTGAATAGTGTAAAGGAAACAAATTAATGATGGAGATCCCATTTTCATTGAAATCCTTGATTATTCAACCATTTCTAAATTAAAATTTTTTCTCTCTACAATATTGAAGATAAATATTTTTTTTTAATGAAATCATTTTAAATACAGATAAATTCATGGACAATTTTTTGAAAATAGGAGCAGTTTGCATGTAATACTGAATGAAACATATCGCATTTAAACTTTTTTTGAACAATTATTTTCTCAAAAAGGGCTCCAAATGTTTCTTTAAACTTTGTTCTTGTGTCTACCAAAAGACAGTAAAAAAAATTGTGCTAGGCTCATTTCCAGCACACAATGCATTTTTGAAAATTGCAAAAATTTTACAATTCAAAACAAACAAAAAATTGAAGATAAAGATTTTTACCCTAAACAATATATATTCTAAAAAATCAGTTCCTTAAAAGATCAGCTTTTAAAAGTGACATTACAAAAATTGTGAATCTGTAAATCTAATTCTAATTTATGTGTTATTACTTTTGCTTTTCTTAAAAAAAATTTTCTACTTTTTTTTTCCAAAAAGGTTTTTGGGGAAGGAGTCATGACTCCCTGGTTTTACCATCATACTAAAACAGGGGTGACCAATCTGAGTCACATTGGATGATTACAAGTAACACAATGGATCTTCAGACCTAATTATTCTTTCAAAATACAGGCTCTCTCCCTTGTTATCTCCAAAGACTGTAATTCCCTTTTTGACCTTGACTCTGACAGATGAAGGAGAAATCATGATTAGTGGGGGCAGTGGGATTCCAATAACAATCACCCACTTGTCCATGTGATAATCTCTCATTATCTTAGATTGGTGCAATAATAGCATCTTTTAAACTAGTGAGAATGTATTGCCTGATTGATTTACCTCTTTTCTCCCATAAGTCACACATTTCCCCTCCCAATCCCTATTTTTCAACTCCAACTATGAGTTAAAAGATACATGGTACTTGAACCCCATCATGTACGCAGAAAATGATAATAAGTCGTAAGTTATTTATAAACTTTTCATTTATTGTTTTGGGGAGTGTTTTGCACAAAGATATGGGTGCTAAGATTTCAATTTAGGACTCTTCATTTCATGGCAAAGCATTCTGACTTCTTTGGAGAAATGTGTTAGCTCAGAGAGTATGAAAATACTACATTCAAAAACCTTAATTATATGTTTATTTTCTTATCAAATAATCGCATTATTTTTTTCATCATACAATATGATGTGTTGAATTGCAATTAAGGATATTTATCAAAAAAGTATTTTTTTGAAAGAGACAGTATATTTTTTTAAGAATTTGAAGATATGTACAATTAAATATGAAAATATATATTTACAATAAAACTTGGAAATTTATTCTATAATTTTTCACTAATATTTTAAGAATAATTATGTAATGAATCTTAATTATTAGTCAATCAACTTTGTTGAAGATTTATGTAGGACATTCTTTAATATGTATTTTTGAGTGTTAATAAAGTGACTGAATGTGTAGGATTCATATCTGTATCATGATTAATCTTAACCATTTCTCTTTCAAGTCTTGTTACTGTGCAATGATAATAATATCTCCTAAAATATGATTAAATTAACATACTTATTTACAAATGCTTATCACGTCTATACTAATTTGTGCATGCTTTGAGCAGAAACACTCAGTACATCTGCAATCGTAAGAGAAGTGCCTTCAAGTGTCTGGCTTCGTATGTCACAGTGTTCATTCCTTGGTGAAGGTGTGATTCTTCAAGGGGTTGTTCAATAACTGTCTTCACATCTCGCCCATGAACTAAGAAAAATAAAATTTTATACTATAAGTTTAAAGGGTAAATTACATCTTAGTAAAAATTGAAAGTGTAAATCTACATTACCTTCACAGTTTTCTAAAAACTGAATGCATTCTGCAAAGACTGAGTCCCTTACCACAATTACATGTTTTGCGAGATTTTCAATAAGAGAAAGAAAACATCGTTTAGCATAAAACCTAGATAAAACAAACAAACAAACAAACAAAACAATTTTGAACAAATACAATTGCTAATATTAAGAATAGATAAAAGAAAAAAGAAAAAAATGGTAGAACATGATAAGAAATTTATAGAAAATACTATCATACTGACCAAGTATCTGTGCCTAATTTCTTGTTGTATGGTTCTAAACTTTTAATGACTCTCGAAATTCCAAATTCGTAATTACCTTTAGCACAATATAATGTACTGTAAATAAAGTTGAAGGTTAAAAAAATTATAAACTATTCTGAAGAAAACATATAGGGTGAGAATTAATTTTCATGATTGACCTACCCTATAACAAGGTTTACTATACAGAGATGAAAAACTTTCTTATCTGGCTCATCAAAGGCTAACTGCTCTTCTTCTTTTTCAATTTTCCGCATCATTTCTTCAGCTTCTTCATTTTGGGATGTCATTATGTAAGACACACACAGATTTGCTAGCACTATTGCACTGACATTTAATATCTGAAACAAATGCAAACTCTTGGTATATTAATTTTTTCCAACAATAAAAAAAAACTTATATACTAAAATAATAATGGGTTATACATTATCATAATTTTTTTTAACAATAGGCTCATAAAATCCTGTAGCTTCTTTGAATTTATTTTCTTGCATAAACAAAACATGAGCCACATTGAGTTTCCAAGTGTCATTTTCATTACAAAATTCCACTGATTTTCTGAATATTTTTTCAACTTGAGCATAATTTTCTAAATCCCAATAAATTTTGGCTTGTGCCATTAGAACAGGGATGTATCTGAAACAAAAAGTAATAAAAATACTACAATATAAAATAGTACATCATTGAAGAGAGAGACATAAATATCAGTTCTATTTTTTTATGTATAGTACATTAGTAATAAACAAGATTAAATTAATTTCCTGGAAGTAAATAGTCAGTTTCAATTACCTGTCAAGTGCCTCTTCATATTCAGCAACAGCTCGCTTAACTGATTCATCATCATGGTTTTGCCTTGCTTCTTGAACTTGTTTGGTTAGTTTACGCAAAGTTTCTGTGTGTTTGGAAGCTACTTCATCAAATTTTCGGTATGCTTCTTCAGGAGATGTTTGTTGGGTTATAAGTGCATCTAAAAAGCTGTACAAGTACTGCAAGAGCGGAAAGGTTTTATCACTCAAGTGAAGGAAACAGAGTAGGAAATAATTCATTCTTGGTCACTTACTGGGGTTAAGTATTTATAAGTCAGGTGAGCATTTTCTGCTAATACATCAGCTGCTAAATCATAATATTCGTATTTACAATATAGAAGTAGGAGATTGCCAAAAGTCTCAGGAGGGAATGGATTCTGTTGAAGCAAGAACTGTAGCTTCTCAAAGCCCTCAGTAGGCTTGCAGTCCATATTCATGAGGGCTTGATTGTGAAGTGTGACTGCGTCTAGTTCTTCCTCAGAGCGAGGAGGCATATCTGTCAATGCCTCACGGGCTGCTTCAACTTAAAATCAAATATTTCACAATATTATTGTTAGGGCACAACAACCAAACAAAACAAAACCACAAAGAATATTCACTTTGAGAGTATTTAATATTTGCAATACAATTTAAAAAAATACTGAAAGAAATTTAGAAATCATTAATATTTTACATTAAGGTGAGATTCCCCCTCCTATGTTACCATATTAAATTCTTAACATTGATGACCCATTATCTCAGAAACTATTGGAAATACCGATTTGAAATTCTTATTGTACATTATCAGTACTATTGTTGTAGTACTGACCTACATTGAAAAGAATTGCTTGGCAGGAAACAAATATAATTTTTTTTCTCAAACCTCAATTTTTTCCCCAAAAATGTAATAACAAATAAGATTTTAAAATTGGAAAAATTAATGCTAACTTCACAAATGTACATCCACAGATTCACATTGTCTAGTTGAGTAATCTGTAAAGGAATCAATAAATAGGTTTAATAGTTTACAAGAAAACGGGGCATTTGTGACGAAAAATTGTGTTTTGAGAAAAACACTTCTGAAATTTCAACTAGGAATTATCCAGTATATTCTTTGTATTATTTTATGTAATAACAACCTTCTCCGTGTTGTGAATTCTCATTATTGCTGATATCTAGAATCTATTTTAAGTCTCTTTTTTAGACCTTTTTTGGTAATTTTCTCAGCTGAGATCTCTTTAGGGAGGAGGAGGGGTTGACTGGATCAATTCTGAAGTTAAGATTTTCATTACTAAACGTATTTTCCACATTACATACATTTTTAACAACAGTAGCCTTTACAATTGAATTTATTTCCTTTATTCACAAGATATTTAAAACACTTATCAGTTTAGTCATTTGAGTTGAACTAGTTGACATTTCTTTCACACACCAGGCTATTTTACCATTTATACCAAGAGAGAAAATAACAATTACAATTAAAAACATGGAACAACATACCTACCAAATCGCACAGATAAACAATATAATATAAAACTGTGAAAACCACAGCCTTCGAGAGTCAAAACTTTCAGAACTATGTTTATGTGAACCCATGGATCTTCTCAAACATCAACGCGTCTGTGCTGATATCCATTCAATATACAATAAAATAAAATTAAAATTTAAAATCATTGAAAAATATATCAAAATGTTCTGAAGTCTAGAGATTATTTTAAGATTAAAAACAAAATTCGGTATTTTTCTCATTTTTTGACTGGAATCTCATCTTAAAGAAATACTTTATGTAAGGTTTCCATGTGATGGTGACTGATAACATTGACTACTTGACTATTTAGGAGATGCCACATTCTAGGCACAGGGGCTAAAGGCAGCCAAAAAATTTGCACCTGTCTAGGATGCAGCATCTCCCAGTCAGCCCAGTACTTACTGACTCCGGCTGAAGAAGCCTACATTGCCCTACAGTGATTTCAATGTCAATGGAATAAAATATAAAGTAAATGTTAATATATCATAGGGCTGTCTAGGGAAAACAAGAAGCCTGGAGCAGTATATTCCCGGAGGCTGCTTATTGCAAACCAAAATTCTTCTCTTCCCTTTTCAATATGTAATTAGAATTAATTTCCCAATGTGACAAAAATAATTTATAGTGTTTAATTTGTATTAGAATACATTTTTAATTTGTTGTTACAAGTTAAATTACAATTTGTTGTAAAATGTGTTAATACATTTTTAATTTGTTTTGAATGGAAAAAAAGAAGGAAGAATAAAGGCAGGGGGAGGGGGTGAGACAATGAAGTTGGGGCCTGAGGCAAATTGCCCCATCTGCCCCCTCCCCTCCTGAGTACCACTGAATATTTAAATTTGATCACTAAAGAACTTGAATTATTGAGCAAGTGCATAGTGTCTATTTATGGAACATACTTAAAAAAATAATCTTACAGTTTTTCAGTTGATATTCAATGGCTGCCCTTAAATTGAAAGCTTCAATCAAGGCTGTTTCGTGTAAAGTTAGAGTATTGCCAACACTTCTTACTTCAATTCCTTCAGTTGTCATTCCAACACTTAATTCCGGATGATCTCGAATGCCACGTTCAATAATGTCCGCTAAATGAATAATTAACAGATTTAGTTAAAATTATTTATCAAAATCCTTATGAGAGAGTTAGCAGTATGTATTTGTAATTACATATATGCTTTAGAGCTGGAGCATATTCTTTAAGTTTATAATAACACAGAGCTATATTATATGAAAGATGGGGATTGTATCCTGTTATTTGCAAAGCTGTTGTAAACTTCTGTAAGGCATCTTCATATCTTCCTTCCTATAAGCAATTCATTGATATGAAATTAAAGTTTTTTTTGAAAGTCAATCCAAGAATACAAAAATATTTTTAAAAGGTTTAATTTTGACCTTATATAACAAACAACCAAGATTTATCTCAGTGTCTGGATCATCAGGTGGACCACTGTCAACCAAACTCTTAGTACCTGCCAAGTCCTCTTCACCAAATTTTATAGCAGCTTTCAACTTATTAACCTGCAAAATGAAAATTTTAAAAATGGAAAAAGTAGTAAAGATTCTCTTGTCTCTTAATAATTAAAATAATAATTATTATAGGAGTTTTAAAGGCCGACCCGGCTAGCTGAGACTGACAAGACAGTAGGGCCATAGTGATAGAGTCCCGCCTAAGACATGGGTGTTTGTGTATTCATCCTTCATTATTATCATTCCACATTCCATACCTTCAGGACTAGCAACCTCGGGGACTAAAAATTTGATTCAGCATAGAATGCTGATCCCTCCAAAAGGACACAAACACTTGCCATGAGATTAATAATGTAACTGAGCCTCAGGAAGTGCAGGTGTATATCCGTATGGATTTAGCTGGCCAATTCGCGCCCCCCCCCTACTTCAAAAAAAGTTTTAAAAATTCTTGGCCATTACACTTAATACTAGGAATTTAAGCCTGTGTTTGAAGGAACGTGAGAAAATTATTATAAGAATAAAAAAGAGAAGATAACTAACTCAATCACAAATGACACACAAAAAAGAAAATAGAGTCAATTCCTTTATACTAACAACTATCAAGAAATTGTAATAAATAATCTGAAAATACTAGTCTGCACCAAAGTAATTTGAAAAATGATGGGTCAAAAAGTAATGGGATGTAGATTTTAATTATCATTGCATATCTGCAGGTTCAAAACATGATAGATTTAGAGGTGATTTTGATGTAGTTTGCTAATGAGTAAATGTATGTAGAAGACATTATAAAGGACATGCAGCCTCATTTCTCTTGGAGAAGATCTAATTTATATCTATATTTTTTTTGTTCTTGCAAATAATATTAATGGTCTTATTTTAAAGACATGTCATGTCAATAACACTAAAGATACTCAATTATAATGCAGGTCACTACAGATACTCAATTATAATTAATAAGATGTCATTTGTAGATCCTTATAAATCCTGCATCCACTGAATGGATGACTTAAAACTTTCTTTAAATGTAATTTCTAGTTTCCTAAGATTGAGCAAGTTTTGTGAAATATAAATTTCACAAAATTAATTGTTTTCTATTACAATTAATTATATTTTCTATACAAATGTTTTAGATAACAATATATTTACAAAATTATATTGATTAAATACACAACAATAAAATATTTTAAAAAAAGATGTATGTAAAATTGAGATTACATTTAGGCCAGTTTCTTTACTTGATTTGCAAATAATATTTAAAGATTGAATTTTACCTTTGGAAGAAAATTTGGATCATCAATTTGTGAAGTAACTTTCATAGCTTCTTCATAAAGACATGCCTGATATAATGATTGGGCATAGTACAACCTATATTCTGGTTCTTCAGGATGCAGTAAGGTTAACTGTTCATAACAATTTGCTGCATTTACAAAATCTTGCACATAAAAGTAACAATATGCAAGAAGGGAGAGACCAGCTCGTGACTGAAAAGAAAAGTGACTGGATGCAACTCAGAAATAAGTTATTCAATGAATGTAGATTTTTATATTTATCAAACTTACATTTGCATTTGTTTCTAGCACATTACCCAATACTTGTATTGCATCATTATATCTTTGATCCCGTATCTAAAATCAGATATTAAAAGAATTTTTTTTTCGAGAAAAAAATGAACAACATGAATTATTTAAATCATTTAACCATTTCAATAAGAATTAAAACTGAAAATAAATAGATTTTTGGCCCAAGTACTGTACAGTAGCTATTGCTTCTTATATTCAATTATCCAGTCTTCATCATCTTTTAATTAAAGAAATAAACATTTTGAAACAATGTTTATTGACAAATACCATTGTATATATTGTCTTCGTGTATTCGCCATCTTTTATCTGCAAATTCTGAATAAACATGATCGGATAATTTTTTTTTTTTTTTGCGTATTATGAATTAAATACGTAATATGTATTAATACGTCTCAGCGAGTCTCGCACTCTTGTCGCACCGTGGTAATACTTGTATATGTTGTCATGGCAACTGCAATGTGAGCAAACAATGTACCGTAAACTTTGCAATCGATTTAAACACAAAAACGTAAGAATTCTTAATAGGGAGCTAAATATTACCTTATGAACATTCTCGAGTATTATATGAATCGAGGTTGTTAATAAACAGAATACCTGAAACGAGAACACGTTTCCCGAATTTTGAATGGGCAGTAAAATACATCAATCTAACAATCTCGACTTTTTAATTGCGATATCTCGAAAAAGAGAATCGATATTGTAACAACATGCATAACTGTTTTAGTGCAGTGTCAAAATCAGCCAAAATGAGATTGTGGAAATCTCTTTTCGGGTACTGAGAGTTTATTTGTGTTACTATATATCCGAGACGGGTGTTAATTTGAAACAAAAGCAGCTAAAACTACTGCTAAATTAAGAATGGCAGGATGGCCTCCTCACAATGGAGATATTGTTCATCTCAATGTTGGTGGAACGAGGTACCTCTATGGATCCTACAATGTCTAACATTATTTTGCTGTTCAATAAGCTCGAATATATGCTCTTAATAAAATATTTGCAGGTTTTCGACATCGCGACACACGTTGATGTGGGTTCCTGACTCTTTTTTCACGGCGTTACTGAGTGGAAGAATATCAAGTTTAAGAGATGAAACGGGTGCAATATTTATAGATCGTGATCCGAAACTTTTTGCTACGATATTGAACTACTTGCGTACTCGTGACATAGACTTGAGTGTTGATATACGAGCGTTTCGACATGAAGCCGAGTTCTATGGAATCACCCCATTAGTGAAAAGATTGGTTCTTTGTGAAGATCTCAGTCAGTCATCATGTGGTGATGTTCTTTTCTATGGTTATCTCCCTCCTTCATGTACGTATGATTGTTCCAGCATTATAAAGAAATCACTTAAAAACATTGTGTTTTCTACTGTATGATATATTGACATACTTCTTTGTGAAGATAGATCCTTGAATTTGATACAGTTGTAATTATATTGGAATAAAATTGAGGCTTCAGTTTCAAAATATCACCTTGAGTAATAATTTGCTCTTACATTGCTTTGTTGAATTTTATTGAGTATTGCAATTGTTAATTAGCAAAACTTATTTTTAGGTATTCCTCTTCAAGAGCCTAGCACGGCATCATCATCTTCATCTTCTTCCTCTGCTGGGGAGAATAATGCTGCGGTACACACTGCTCGACCAGGTTCCATTGTGAGAATTCCTCCCGAAGTGAACTGCAATGCAAATAATGCTGGCCCTTCAGTTGGTTCCAGTGCACCATGCCCTCCTCCACCAAGTATTCCAGCTCCAGGTCCCCCTATGTCTGGACCCCTTCTTCCTATCCCTGGCCCTTCAGTCTCATCTGCTGGGAGCAACTGTATACTTCCTTCTGCTCATGTGAATTCTCCTCTTCTTCCTGGACCTCATACTCATGGTGCACATCCACAATCGACCCTCCAGCACCCAGGAGCACCAGGCCATTCCCGCAATTCATCCTTGGATTTGCGCGTAGCTTCAAATGGTTGTGCAACAGTTGCGTCTCGAAGTTCAACAGACATTCGTAACATGGCAGGGCGCTCTGCCGTTGGGCATTCAAGAGCCGCTTCATTAGACTTACGTCACACTCGAAATTCGTCTGCAGATCTGAACAAATTATTTAGAAATGATGTAGGATTGGTGTTTGGAACACATCAAGGCATGTGCACCTTACCTTCAAATAAGTATATTTTTCTTTTGTCTTTGTATTGCACCCTTGTGGTGTGTTTCTTTAACTTGTCTAATTATTACTCATGTAACGTTTCTTGAACGATGGATTAATGAAATGCTGGTAGAGAAGGGGTAATAGTTATGAAATTTGCCACTAGATTTTATAAAGCAATATCCAAAGATTCTCCAGTCTCTGGAGAATCAGTCATGCTTTTGCAACTCTCTCAATAATTTGAATTAAAACTATCTCAGTAGTTTAAAGCATCTCCTGTGACGGAATAGTTTATATTTTGCACCAGTGAAGATGTGTTTAGAATGTTGTCATCAGTGCTTGCTGCAAGCTGTTGCCTTCAACTGTTTATTGTACAAGAGAGAGGGAAGCAAGGTCATCGTTCAAGAAAAGTTGCGCGGTTAATATAAAACTCTTTTCAACTGTTGTTTGAAGGGGTAATCAATAAACTACTTGAGTAATTGCGAAAAAAATATTTACAAATGCTGTTTCATTATTCATGTGTATTCCCTTCATTTTGGTATTCAAGTTTTATGTGTTTTGTATTTGTAAATTATATATTTGCAGGTTCCAGTTGGACTGATCCCTTACGTGTCCAGATAATTAAAGCACACCATAACTGGATTGCTGTAGCATACGCTCATTTTGTCTCCTGTTATAGGTAGGTTTGGTTTTATATATTTGTGAGTAAAATAAACTTCTCTGCATAATTAATGTTGACATTTCAGACTGAAAGATTCAAGTGGCTGGCAGCATGCATTCACTAGTCCTCACATAGAGAGCTGCATTGAGCGTATTGCTATCAATGCTAAAATAGGACAAGGTGGTGGTGGAGAAGCCTCATCGAAGATGGTTGCAATTTCATACGGTAGTCAAGTTCGCTTATGGGGTGTGTCTGAAGACGGAACTCGAACTAATATAGGTAGTTATCAAACAGTGTGGTTTCAAAACAATTTTTTTGACTTCTTGGGGCTTTTTCCAACTTCAGAGGATGCTGATTTAGACTATCTGCGCCTGGTACTCACTAATGTGTCCCTCTTGGTGACACATTAACCTTTACACTACACACTGACACACATACGAACTCCTTGGTCAGCAGGCTCTCAAGGCCTTCACACCTACATGAAAGACAAGGGACAAACAACCATGCACATGGCGGGACTTGAACCTGTGACCCTTCGAACTGAGGCACAGATGCACAGACTCAATCCACCTCAGCCATCCAGATTGGCTTTGTGGTTTTAAAACAATGCAATCAATATATCTGCAAATTTTAGAAAGTTGAACATCATATGTATCAGGTATTTCATTTGCTTTATTTAATAGGAAAATATTTTTTGTTTTCTCTTCTTTTTCCTCTGTTTATTCGGTTTGTGCTATCAAGACCAGAAATGAGATTGAAGTACTAATTAAAATGTCACGTTAGGTAGATTCGTATCATTCTGCTTGTTCATGTAATCCTTGTGTTCCAGGAACATTTAATCTTCATGTCAGAGTAGAGTATTTGTTTTTTATTGGGAGCCAGCTTGTGGCATTGTCACCTACTGGTAAAATAGGTGTATGGCATGCAATGACTCAACACTGGCAAATACAGGATGTGGTTCCGATTGCTTCTTTTGATACTGCAGGATCTTTCCTGTTGTTGGGTTGCAATAATGGCTCAATTTATTACATAGGTAAGCAGTTAAAAAATTTTCAAAAATCATACAAATGTATTTAAAACCAAAAATTCTGAAATATCAGTATTATTAATAACCCTGCTGATGTTTTTTCAGTATTTACTTCAATACTTAAATGTGTTTTTATAATTATTTTTTTAAAAAATTTATTTATTTATTTATTTATTTTTTTCAGATATGCAGAAATTTCCTTTGAGAATGAAAGATAATGATTTGTTAGTAACTGAATTATATCGTGATCCTTCAAATGATCCTATTACTGCCATATCTGTGTACCTTACTCCAAAAACCAGTAAGTTGCTTCACTTTCTTTTGTAGTTATTATTTAGTAAAATGGATAATATTTCTTATTTGATTCCTTTAGGATTTTGTTCACCATGGTGCCAATGATATTACGTACAAAATTCTTTCCAATGTTTCTAGGTAAAAGTCAATCCGAAGACAATAAAGAATTGAAATATTTTCTTTTGTATTGTATGTGCTTTTCAAATTTTGAGTCTGTCAACATTATTAGGGGATGAGGTCTTTTAATACAAGATTATTGAATAAACACTGGGCCCTAGACAACAGCTTCAGTTAGTTATGGTATAAAAAAACATTTTTTCGATGTCTGTAGTTAACTGGGAAAGAACTTTGAAGAACTTAGACATCATTAAAAAGACCATTTTATTTCCACAGTTCCTTTTACCATTTGTACTTAAGAATAAATGTCTTGCATTTTATAACACTTAAAATGACTTGATTTGTGACTAATCTTTAAAGCTAGACATGGTTTTTCTTTACTTGAAACTTACAAGACACTCTTTTAATATAGACTTTATATTTTCACATTCTTGTAATATTACAAAATTAGATGATTTTTATCAATTTTAGGTACGATTTGAACTTTACTCTTAATTCATGGCATTTGTAAAGAAACTTGTTAGATAAGTACAAACCTACTCAAGTGGCCACCTTGATTAAGCAGTCACTTCTTTTAATGGCCATTCTATCTTGGAATTAATTTTCCAAAACATATATGTCTCTTTTAAATGGCCACCTGGCTGAGTGGTCAATGTTTTGTAATATTTCATAAATATTAAGTGGTCACCTGAAGCTATTTTTGAACTGTAAAAGCAGAAAGGATTACCGTTAAACTTATATCCTCCTGTGACTAGATGTATGTATAGAGATTACTTCAAACAGTGACATTATGGGTATGCTTCTCTTTTGTGGGAATCTGTTATGGATTGCGGATCATTCCACATGTGTGAATCTGATCTGAAGAGCATTCGCTAACTTCTTTAGCAGATGGCCCTGCAGTAAAGTTTCTACAGAATGTAAATTGCATCTTCAATACTAGTTTGATTACCAGCTTGGGTGACTCATGGCATCAATTGATGTCTCTGCAATGCCTCTGACTGGAGGGTCCTAGGGTTTGGGTGCTAACTGGCAAGATTTCAGACTCTAGCTAGATAGCTAAGTCGAATTCAGCCACTGCCAGTGGAGAATTCTAATGGTTGGCTGCTGTGAACAGGTAGTTTTCCATGGTTTCTCGAATCAACACCAAGGGAATGCCAGAGCAGTACCTTAAAAAATGGGCCACTGATCATGCCGATCTTTCCATCATCTTTCTTGTCCTACCTTCACCCGTCACTGACACACATTTACTCTTACATGCACTACTCAACCACACGTCAGTGGACTAATGGGAGCTTGTCCCAGCTGGGGCCGTTTCCTGCTGGTGGGAGATATCTGGTTGGGGAAAATCCCACAAGCTGATGTATATTTGGTTTTTTTTACCGTGTCTGGTCAAGTTAGATTTTTACGCCACCTGCCTTGTAAAATGAATCTTTTTAACAGTGGTAAGTACATGTCTGAGGCCATGAGCCCTGTTGAGAAGGACGTTCATGAATTAATTAAAAAATAATTATTCATTTTATAACATAGGAGGTGTACAAATGACCTAATGTCATTGGCCATGTTATAAAGACCGAAGTATAGGTTGGTGCCGGATTTCACCATCAAGCAGAGGGTAATCCCTCCCCCTCCTCTCCACTATAAAAAACACTTCATGACTAATAACGTAGCAGTTGGCATGCCAAGAAACATGAATCAGTCAATCAATCTAGTTTGCTTGTTCGAATCGCTTAGGATGGAAAGCAAGTTCCTCGACTAAGAGAATGAGTGACAAATCGGTGTTTTGATATTAATGGAGAGGAGGCAAATAATTCCAAATAGCTTTACAAAATTGTACTTTGTCATTTATGGCAATTAAAGATGTTAGAGATCATACTTCTGTTTCAAATTGTGGTCATTTCTGCTTAAAATTTTGCGTGGACTTGTACCCATGTGAATATTGAAGTTTATTCAAGTGAAATCATTACTACTACTCCAAAAATTTTGTAGTTAAGTAATAGGCATTTTTATAAAAGTCTGTGTGCAACAGTATTTGAAAAACTAGGTGCTTGGGTTTATTAAAGCATAGAATTTTTGACTATATATTTACAAAGTTCCACTTATTATAATGTATCCTCTTCTTTTAATAAGAATTTTCTTACGATATCGCAAATATCTTGATTTCTATTTATTACGAAACTGTTGCACTCATGCATTCAAGCATTGATTTATATTCAAAATTTTAGTTAATGGAAATCTGAAGCCATTTTTCCATGTGGATAATTTATTTGAATGATTTGTCAAAAACAAGTAAATCTGGAAGTTATGAGGGAAATCAGAGAATTGAAAGTTTACAGGGCAAACTCAGGGAAATGTCTTATCACATTAAAAGAAGATGGGCCCTTTTTGGAAAACATGAAAAATTGGATAAATTCAGGGTATTACATCTTTCTGGAAAAATCAGGGAATTTTTAGAAGTATTGTTGAGTCAGGGAAAATGTTCAGAGGCTTTTAAAACTAGACAACATTATTTTTTGCTCAATTTTTATTTTTAGTAAACATTGTTAATTTGCACTTTGTCACAGCAAGATGTGAGAGTGGACCCATTATTTTCAGGCTCGCTTTGTTTTCTTAAGTGTGAAATAGAAACTTAAAGGGACACTTGAAGTCCATGATCTTCAATGGCAGCATGTTTTACAATTATCGTGCCCAGGGATAGGTAGTTCAGTAGTAAATAATGGGTTGTGTAGAGTGGATGTCTGACACCAAGAACAACAGTATTATATCAATATTCCATTCTCTATGGTATAAATGCCAGAGGTGGTCTCGTGAAAGCCATGAGGAATAATGCTCTTCCTTGAGCAATTGGCAGCAGCACTTCAGCAATATGTGAAGCGAGAAGTGACTTACACTGGGCATATGCCAAATGGGGGAATGGTGACAACAGTGAACTACAGAACCTTGCTGCAGAGACTTTCATGTTGTGCTATTAGAGAAACAATGTGTAGAACTTCTCAAAGACATCTTTACTGTCCAAGGCAATGATAGATCACATACAGTAGACACTGTGGACACATGTCCAATACTGGGAATATTAAGTATTGGTATATCCTGTTTAACTAGATATTTCACCATGTGATTTTATTCCTAATCCAAGGAATCATTGCCTGGGAGATGGTTTGGTCAGTTCAGGTCTCGACTAATACTTTGAAGCAAGAGATTTCAACATGACATTCACACATGATGGGATGAATGATAGAGATACCTTCCACATCATTGTCATCTTCTAGGCTTATTAGAGGGGATACTTTGAGGATTTATTATAATGCTTTCTGTGAACTCTCCTGAATCTATTAATCTCAACAAAATTTTTTTGAATAACTAAGTATATTATTGGAATATCACTGAGGAGCAAACCATAGTTTCCAATGAAAATTTTTAAGGCAAATTTTGAACCTGTCATTGAGAATGTTTGTTTATCAAACCTTGCCATTTCTATTACACTTATACTTCAAAAAAATTGTTATTTTTAGAAATGAGGTATTATATAACGCTATTGTGTACATAAAAAATTAACATCAAGTTGAAACAAATTTGTACTTTCTTTTCTAATTTCTTCAATTTAGAAACTAAGAGTTATTTTTAAGGAGATGAAATTAAAAAAAAGAAAATTTGTGAATCGTATTTGATTGATTTCCAGCTTTTTAACAACACAATTTTTTTTATTTTTCTTGTTGTGAAAATATTATGAAGTTTTATACGCTATCATTATACATGTCAATATCTTCCTTTTTTGTTTAATTGTTTCTTTCTTTGAAGTACCAATTTGTATATTCTTTCTCAGGTTTTTTTGTATTATATTCATAAGTTAGTAAATTCCATATGATGAATTCTTTACTTTACTCTTCTTGTATCTTAGTAAAAGTTTTAAAAGTCTTGTTTATATTTTTTTCTTTGTAGAATAATATAAGTACTTCCCCTTTTCTCAAGGTTTCATTTAGATTTATGTTATGAACAAAGAACATTCATTTCTGATCTGTGTGTAGTGACTGAAATTGCACCTAACACCATCGCCTTGTATGTCTTATGTTTTTTTCCTTTTCTTATTAAGAAGAGCTGTGACAGCATGATATGCTGTGTCTCTTTGTATTTGATCTGCCTTGTTTAATGTTTTGTGTGAATACAGAGTTATCATTTTAGCTAGCACTGTCCTAATTAAAAGAAGAGTTGACGAAAAGACAAATGGGCTAAAGTCATTTAATTGTATAAACATCTAAAACATAATGTGTTGCATCCACACAATTGTATAATAAAGTGGAGTGAGATAAAAACTCTCACTTTCCTTCTTTCTTTCCGCACGGAGGAAGAACCCACAGGGAGGAAAAGGAAAAAATGGAAAAAAAAGAAAGGGGGGGGAAAAGGGGGAAAAGAGAAGAGAAGAGGAGAAAGAGAAAAGAGGGTAAAAGAGGAGAGAGAGAGAGGAGAGAGAGAGAGAAGAGAGAGAGAGAGAGAGCAGAGACAGAGAGAGAGAGAGAGAAAGAAGGAAGAGCAGAAGAGAGAAGAGAAAGAGGAAGGAGCGAGAGAGAGGAGAAAGAGGAGAGCAGAGAAGAGAAAGAGGAGAGCAGAGAGAGAGAGAAAGAAAGA